TTTCTTTCTTGAATCATTCATCTATGAAAGAATCTTTTCTGAAAAGTATTTCCAATACTTTTTGCAAATTCTATTCTGTTCAGCTCTCGATCTAATAGAGTACATGATTTGAATGCCAAGAAGTGTAGGTGTGAAGGTGATAGCGCTATGTCGGTCAGGCGCAGAGTAATTTCTTTTGTTCATTGTTGGATCTAACTCCTGATATTTTCCAGGGATACCCCCATGTCTCTGTAGCTGTATCCAGAAAGTGGATTACTGCCAATGGAAATTATTGTCCCTGATACAGAAGGCCCCATTCCAAACACACGTAGAAATAGCTTCACTAATCCACTGGCTTTATTTTTACAGTGTTTTTGTAACAACAATGCATCTGCGTTGAACAGGGTGTACATTGTAATGAACTTACTTTTGGAGGCTGATGAAGTTACATTGATGTGGAACAGCATACAACATTCTGCCTTGCTACTGCAAACAATGTGGAGACAGAGAACATCTAAGCAGTTGAAAGTGGGTTGGAATAGTTTACTGGGAGATTTTGGAGAAAAAAGACACTTAAAAATACTGAATATTATGGTCAGGTCAGCTACGGGTCTGTTACAAGGCTAATCAATTTGTTGATTTTGAATAATACTTGTTATTAATTTGGCCCTTTTGTGCTTAAATGACTTGCAGAACCTGTTCTGATTTCTGCAAATGTTTTTGTTATTCATAGGAAATTTAAGATTAACAGTTTTTAGCCTATGGGTTATTTGTGAATTCTCCCCTTGGGTACTGCTTAATTAAGACAGGTGATTGATCTCCTCGGTAACATGAAGACTCTTCCCCCCTAGTCTAGCTTATTAGAAACAAGGCAGTGGGGATTTCCATTGAACAGCAGAATCCCAGAGTGGTGGGATCTCTACATCAGTACTAACCTGTCCGGCATAATTTGTAGAAGTTATGGAATCTCCATCCCTGGAAATTTTCAAAAGCAAGTTATATGGATCACTTGCCTGAGATGGTTTAGTCAGGGATGGTCTAGACTAGACTAGACGATGTCTCTATTCAAGGGCTTACAGATAACAAAATGAGATGGCACATGCAGTCCAGTAAAACAAAGTTGTAAATGGATCTGATTGTCTTCTATCATTCTGCCAGCTCCAATCTTAATAGTGGATTAATATGTCTTGAAGTGGCATACAAGGTCATAACAATCTAACATTAGAGACTTTCTTCCTTAGCTGGCAGAGATTAATATCAAACCACCATTTTTGGAAGTCCTACAGATTTGAAGAGCTTACATTATTTTAATATAAAAACAGGTGCTTGTTCTCATGGTGGCAAAGAGAATCTTTCTCATATGACCCAAATGCAGGTCTTCAAGAAGGTAAAAACAAGAAGCATGAGCAGCTCTATGAATCCCAGCTAGAGTACCAATAAATCCAAAAGCCTGATGATGGAATTTTATCATAAGTCCTCTATTTCACTGCTGAAGCATTCAGCAGAATGCCAGAAATTCTGGGATTTGAGGCAGAATTTACTCAGAGCAGCACAACTATATAATGATCCAATCTTCTTCTGGATGCAGTGACTATAGCTAATGTAATCAGTCATGGTAATTTGGCCAATTTAGCTGCTTTGATGTCTGCAAATATCTGTCATTAGTTTGATATTCCCTCTATTTTTTTTTCAGTACATATGTTTTATTCATATTTGCTTATAAATATTCAAAGAACCATTTGCTTATTTGTAATTAGTCATATAAATCTTATGATCTGATTGAACTGACTTCAAAAGGAGGCTAGATAATCAACTAGCCAGTGTAGTTTGACCCCAGTACTCTTTCCTGCCATGGCAGGGGGTCGGACTTGATGATCTGCTCAGGTCCCTTCTGACCCTACAAACTATGAAACTATGTCAGTACTATGGCATGAAATGGATAGGCACAAATTTCAATTGCTCTTTCCCCATAGATACACATAAAACTTTGGAATTTATTTGCCCTGAGGATTTGTGCCAGTAACATTTAATCACCTTAATACTTTTGAAGGTAAAAACAGATTAATTAATTGAAAAAAAACCCAACAAATGAATTATGGATAGAAAATTACTTGCCCTTTTTTGGTTAGTTCTAGTCATTATATACTGTTCAGTATATCAAGATAAACAGCTTAGTATCATGATGTGTTATCATGACATGGATCCCAACATTTAAGGTAGGATGTATTTATGTCCTATGAATCTAAGGTACTAATATTTCCCCCATTCCTGCAGTATCTGAGCATCTAACAGTATTTAGCGTAGTTATCCTCACAACATCTCTACGATATAATGCAGTGTGATTAGTTCCAAGATTAGAGATGGAGTAACTAAGCACAGAAAAACTAAGGGCCAAAGAGCCTTCCCCATGCAGGAAATGTCCACAACTTGATTAGATTGTACCCCTTGGATCTAACACAGTTCAAACTCCCCTCAGCAGGAGAGAATCAAACTCTGCTTTGCCACAACCCAGGTAAGTTTTGCAAGCAACGGGGTGGGAGCACGGGGTGGGGAAGGAGGGGCTAGGTACTCATCTATCCCTGTTTTATGAGAAAGGATTAGGTTGTGTTATGGCTATGATTTCCAGGGGGAGGGATTTAGCTCCCTGCAGCCTGGATTTAGGGCTCTTAGCTCTGCTGGGGGTGTATTAAATCTCTTTTGGGGAATGTCTTGTTGATTTAGTCACCTCTGTGAAGGATTTTATGAATCCTGTTTGTCTTTTCTTAGGTGCCTGACTCTCCCTGTGCTTTCCCTGTGTTTTATAGGCAGCCTTGGCACTTGAGCTGGGGCTATGGATTCAGTTAGGCTACAAGGTTTCTAGGGCTAGACATTCAAAAGCCCCAGCTTGAATTGATTCAGTCTTTGTGGTTAAGTCTAACCTGCAGAGAGAACTGGTTTGCAAGTGGATAGACATTCAGCACATGCCTGCAGTGGCTCAGGCCTGAAGCCCAGGGGTGCTAGAGCAGCCCTCTCTTCCGCAGGGAAGCTGATCTGAGGAGGGGGGCATGGCCAGGCCCTGGCAGGCCTGCCTCAGCAGCTCCCTGACAGCCTGGAGCAATCCTGGCACACAGGGCTGCCAGCCCCAGAGGGGAACTCTTCCAGCTCCTCCCTCTCCCCCACCACCATGGAGCAGAGCCCTGGGGATAGAAGCAGCCAGCACTGCACTGGGGGTGAGGAGTGCAGCTCTGTTCAGCCTGCCTGGCCACTTCTATCCCGTGCACTCCACACCGTGAGCCTGCAGCTCCACACTCGCAGTGGAGAAGCCCCACACTGAACTGCACCTGGAAGTAGGGGCAGGTCTCTCTCTACTCCTGGCAGAGCATGGGGACTGCAGAGCTGGGAGCAGGAGAGACAGCAGGCTCCAGTATGTGGCTTCCCCTGCTGCTATGACTGGAGCTACAGGTGTGGGGAGCAGAGCCACAGCAAGCTCTGTTCCCTCCCCCATGCAGCACTGGCCAGAGTTGTGCCTGTGCTGGGCACAAGCACCCTAACATCTCCACCTGCTGCTGCTGCCAGGCAGTGGGGGCTGCATGCCATGTGGGGAGTGTGTGTGGGTCCCTAAACCCTCATCCCCACCCTGCACACCCTGCCCAGCTGAGCTCCATGCTCCTGCTGCCCCTCTGGGGGAAGGAGGAGGAAGGGGAAGAGTTCCCCACAGCATGGAACAGAATCTCCACCTGCCCCCTGCCCCCTGCTCCTGCTCTGGAGCCGGGCAGCATTGCATGGAGCCCCCACTCCCAGCTCCAGGGCAGCAGGGGAGGAAGGAGAGTGGGAGGAAAAGTCCCCATTCAGCACCTCACAGAGCCTCCCTCCCCACCCTGTGGGACAGCTGAACCAGCATAGCCCCATTAAAGTGAAGGAGGCAGGGAGAAGAGTTGTTTCCTCCCTCCATCCCTTTTCTGCAGCTGGGGTCTGCCAGCTCCAGGAGTCATCATTGCAGCCCCCTCCCCTCTGCTCCCTAGCAGAGAGGCTGACACCAGCTGCAGTGAGGGAAAAGGGGAAGGAGGGAAGAATTAACACCCTATCTGCCCACTTTGCTGTAACAGGGCCATGCCAGCCAGTGTCTCTGCTAGGGTTGGTCCCTGCTCTGGCTAGAGAGCAGAAGGGAGGAGTCATCTCTGCTGTGGAGCAGAGATGCCTGCCCAGCCCAGAGAGCATGTCGGGATGCTGGGGGTGTCTGGTTTATCTTAATATCTTTAGCTCCTAATTCTTTCTTATAAATTTTGCCCACTTTAGTTCATGCTCAGAATACGGGATCATCCATTTTCTAGGAATAGCTAACTAGGTTGAGGATGAAGTTTTCCAAGGAAAAAATTGACATTATTCTCTGCATTTCCTTTTTCTATACATGTACATGCTCAAGCACGCAAACAGTCTTAAGAGCACAAAAGTAAATGGAATGTAATTAAATATACACTGGATCCAAAACAAAATTTACTTATAAAACTTTCACTGTTGATCTGCTCAAGCATTTTGTCTACTTTTTACATGAAATTATCATGAGACTACTAAAAGCAGCTGTGCTTTATGGTTTTCCACTGGAAATGTTAAATTGTGTAACATGGTTGGATGTAATTACACTAGAAAAATAAAGATAATGGAGTGTACACTATAGTTTTAGTGTGGCTTCAGCAAGGTTTTGTTTGGAGTGCCCAGCTGCATATAGAGGCACAATAGAATTTGGTTTGTGAGGAATCTACAAAAATTACACAAATAACTAACATTTTTTTAATGAATAATACGCAGACATGCACCTGCTTCAGAGACTCCATAGATTAGTCTTGCAGCCAATAGAAAAGCCCCTTGGAATTCAATTACATGGCTGAAAACAAAATCATGGCTATACTTTTAGAACTGATACCAGCAAAATGTTAACTAGTTCAGGAAAAGCTGAGCTTTTTCCTGAGGATTAGGTTGTTTCAGTTTGTTTAACTTCCATGTGGTTTATTGCAAATTCAAAGTATTCTGTTCTATTCTTGCAGCTGGAGCCTCTGCCGGAAGATATTCTGCACCAAACACCCAATCTGAATGCAATAGCTTCTTTACAAAAGGCCAGTCAAATTCAAAGTATGTTTCAGTATTTTTCCTCTTACTATTAATTAATCTCAAGAACAACCTGTTAAGATTTTGTTGCATAGTAAAAAATAAGCAAGAGTGCCATGTAGAAACCTGCATGCCTCTTTATAATAATAGGCTTGCACACTTTTTTCTTTGGTACATTTTTTGTTTAATTAATTACTTAACTCTTACAAACTTGAGTTGTTAAAACTGTTGCTAAAATCTTTCCTTTCCACAGTTCTCTGAAAAGTATATACATGTATCTATGTAAAATTAGGTACCACATTTACCTGAATTGAAGACAACTTTGCATTTAAGATGACCCCCTCCCCAGACAAAATAGATTCTATACATGGGAAATTATAATTTTTCATGTATATAATCTAATTAGTAGAATTTGTTTCCCCCCCTGCTGTGGTAGGGAAAACAGCAGTGTGCGGTGAGGTCCTAGACCCTTACTCCTTGCTCCCCTGCCCCTTGTCAGCCTATGCCTATCCCCTCTGTGCCTGCCCTCC